GACAAAAAAAAAAACATCAAGACACAGACTGATTCGAGTGTCATCGGCTTGAGCTAAATCGAAAGCAACTTCAGATTGCGGGATGTGATCGGGAGATCAAACAAAAGACACGCGACCAAGTTGAAACGTGAGTATATCATATCAGCATGTTGATAGTGACGGTGTTCTGTTTCGGTCATTTACAGCAACAGTGGTCGAGCGAGGCACTTGGCAATAAGACAGTGGAGAAGCTGTTGCAGTGCTGTTTGAACAATGCAGCTGGTTACTTTAGTGAGGAGAGCAGAAGGGGCGGTTTCTTACTCTGAGTCTGAGAGCACCTTCTTTCGCCCTGATTACACTATATTCACTATGGTATAGAACAGGAGTGTAGCCAGAAACCAAGCGTTGTGTTTGCTGAACTGAAGCACAATAAATTGGCATGTACGTTAACCATTGCAGTTATGTCTTTATAGCGCTGTCATTTATTTTAACACTGTGTTACGCTGTGATGACGTTAGTAAACAAATTGCAGATGGCATTTAGCAGTGAGATTATTTGAATATGATTTAAATGCATAATTTTGTGACGACAAGACAACTGGCCTTTTCTTTAACTTAAATTAGACCGTTTTTAATAATAGCTAAATGTATCTCTTAAAAAGCAAGATAACGAAAAAACAAGAGTTATGATGCAACATCTCGCGGTTATCATTGGGGAAACAAATCGCGGTTACCATAATTATTCATTGATTCTATGGGGAGGATGAAGAGGAATTTTCGATAAATTTGAGTACTTGGAGTAAAAGTTTTTGCACTTCAGATGACCTTTTTTAAACTCAAAGGTCAACAATACAAGCAATTCAACAAGAAGATATGAAGTGACATCTGCAGCTGGTTTTATGACAGTAAATAAATTCAGTCAGAATGTTCTCTATTACACTAAACTGATGCCCACCCCGCTGGTAGCTGTGTTTTTGAGTTTGGTTGCTGGTCTAAGCTGGGTGTTAGCTGGTTATTAGCTTATCTGAACTAGTAGACCATACTTTATTTATTTATTTATTTGCATATAATCTATTTACTGATGGGGCAGTCTAAAATTTTCTCTCTTCTGTTTTTTTTTTTAAACACCTTTCACATCCCTGCTGGGAAAAAAACAGCCAAAACCAGCCTACTGTGGTTTTACCTGGTTTAAGCTGGTCTCTCAGCCTGCCCAACTAAAGAAGTGTTCAAAACCCATCTAAAACCTGAAAAAAACTTAAAACCAGTATTCCTGTGGCTCAGTGGTAGAGCATTGGTTTAGCAGCGCAAAAGTTCGTGGGTTTGATTCCCAGGGAACACACGTACTGGTAAAAAAATATATAGCCTGAATGCACTGTAAGTCACGTAAAGCGTCTGCTAAATGCATAAATTATTATTATTAAAACCAGCATGCTAAACTAGCTCTGACCAGGCTTGAAGACAAGCTAAGACCGGCCAACCAGTTTAGGCTGGTTTTAGTTGTTTTCCCAGCAGGAAAAGCAGATGATAGCTAGTTTTGTAAACTGGTATTTGTTAGTTTTCACTGTTTTTGACAATTCACCATTTATAATTCGTCTGATTTGAAAAATCTCAGAAAAATCATTACGTTATGATAAAACCACAAATGTATTTTTTTGTGGGGAATTGACGTTTTGGTTGGGTTTATGTCACTGGTACTGTATATAAGGGGTTATATTATGAAATATTATTGATTTCAACACAGACTTTAGGGAATAGAAGATGATGTAGAGTTTGTCTGAATTTCTGAATCCCTCAGCAGCATGTTATTTGGGGTTATAATACTGGGATACATTACATACCATTGACCTGTAGGATTGGTTCAGTAACACACACCAGATTGCTATCCCTTCTACCTCTGTAAATCTAATCCTCATTGACTGTATTGATTCTACTGTGCTTGAAGGATTTCTCAGTATCACCAACTAGACAGGAATGCCATGAAACAGTCATGCCGAGGAATAGAACAATGTGGTTAAATACAGCTGTCCTATACTGCTCTTACTGAATAGCTACGTGCCTATACTGAGTGTGGAGTACAACAGGCATTTCTTATCTGCTTTAATTGCCAATTAGATGGCTGTTCTCCAAATGAAAGCTACTAGACACAGAATTGATCATTTTTAGTGCACCGTAGCCAGCACAGTCGCAGGGGCCGCTGAGAGTTGGATGTGAGAGAATAATTCAGAGGTTATATTGGCGGCACTTCAGCAGTGCTCAGTCGCTCCTGGTGAGTGTGAGAGAAGATGCAGCGAGCTTCCTGTGTCTCTGTGTGAGTGTGTTAAACTGATAACGTGCAATCAGCCTTTATTAAAATGCAAGCAAGATTCAGACTGCTCTGTCAGTCATTATGTTGCTGAATATATGCTGACCACAGACAGAGGGATTGAGCTGTAAGTGCAGACAGTTGTGATAGTCTCTTTGTGAATATTAGAGAGGTTTTCTGTTTCAGAACAGTGTCTTGCAGACGACTATATGAATATTAATTTGACACTGTCTTTCTTATTAAAAATGAGAACAAAAATGGCAGATTGATTTTGTGCTTCATTTTGTCACATCAGAACTGCATACATCTTTTACAAGTCTGACAGTTCTGTTTATAAGCTTATCAGATATGAAAAGCAATAAAAGTTTTTAATTTGTTTATGATTGCTTTCAGTAAATGTTGACTCCCATCTAGGGTTGCAAAGGGGTGGAAAATTTCCGGTAAATTTCCAGAAACTTTCAGAAAATCCCTGGAATATTCCAAAAAAATCCTGGAAAGTTAAAAAAATTTCTGGAATATTTCGGAAATTTACTGGAAATTTTCCACCTTTTTGCAACCCTACTCCCATCTGACTGATACATTATCATAGTGATGATATAAAACTGCATGTGCAACCCTTTTTACTTCCCAAATGTGACATTGTTGTCATCATGTCAATGACACTTTATTGTGATATCTTGTCACAACTAAGAGCTTTTCTTAACCAGTTAACTCAATGCAAGCTGTTAAATTGCTGAACTGAAGGATAACTGAAAACAAAAAAGAAATGTTTAATTTGAGTATTTTAGCTTCTGTTGTATTATGTGATATGCAATTTAAAAGACCATATAAAAGATAATTGATATGTTTTCATTATTAAGAATAAATTCATTGTAATGCAATTTTCTATGATTCTGCATTGGTAATGAATCTTGCTTGACAAAGTATTTCCCAAGAAATAACGTAGGGCGTGACTTGATTTTATCCATCAGGGATGAAGTGGATTGCAAAAAGTGGGCGTTTCATACAAGAATGTAGCCAGACCTGAATGTGGGTTTTCTAAAACAATGCCTAAATTGCTGTTATTGATTAACATTATCCAATAGCCCACTTCAGTGATGTCAAATGTAAAAGGATTTGTAAGATTTTAATAATTGACTTGTAATCTTTAAAGTCAGCATGAAATGGAAGTGGTTATAAATGAATGTTACTGATCTTACTGTGAGTGATTTATCCATACATATGTTTAATTATTTATTCATTTTTTTGAGCTCATTATTTTTAATTGAAATGTCATAACTTGATCTTCTGGTGAAATACAGCATTCTCTCTGCTGATGTATGCCAGCATTTTACAATCATTTAGTCGGCTTAAACCCAGACGCTTTCTTAATTTCGACTGTCTCCTTCCAATCAACAATCAGTGGATTGGTAAATCATGCAAAGAAGTCAAATTCTATTTCTTGTTGACTTTAGAGGAAAACAACATTAACAGCAATGTATTTACAGCAATGTTTCTTCCTTTTTGTGGTGTGCAGACTTGTCTCATTGCCAGGGGGAAATTGCAGCAATGTCACCTCTGCTTTGGGTAAAGTCTGATTCAGCAATAGAATTAAGGCACTGGAGAATACTGTGCTGTAGCGTAGCACTCCTCCTCCTCTGCGCATACACAAGCACACACACGTATAACATCTCACATCTAGTTCCTCTTCTCTGCTTGTGCAGCGTGAGTGAGGGAAGCCACAGTGTTTATTACTGTCAGAGACCTGAGACAATCAGAGAGAACGAGAGCAAGAGAGAGAGGGTGGGGCGGGGACACAAAAAGAGAGTTGATGAGGACCTCTGTTGTGTTCCTGTCACATATTTCTGAGAGCGGGAGCGGAGCATTGGATTGTAGCGATGTGTCATGTCAATCTCAGGAGGCAAGAAATTTGAAGAGACAGAGAAAAAAATCATTGAAAGTAAGTGTTGTTAGGACATTTTGAGACATTATTACATTACATTTACATTTAGTCATTTAGCAGACGCTTTTATCCAAAGCGGCGTACAAATGAGGACAATGGAAGCAATCAAAATCAACAAAAGAGCAATGATATACAAGTTCTATAACAAGTCTCAGTTAGCTTAACGCAGTACACGTAGCAAGGCATTATCCAATAGCCCACTTCAGTGATGTCAAATGTAAAAGGATTTGTAAGATTTTAATAATTGACTTGTAATCTTTAAAGTCAGCATGAAATGGAAGTGGTTATAAATGAATGTTACTGATCTTACTGTGAGTGATTTATCCATACATATGTTTAATTATTTATTCATTTTTTTGAGCTCATTATTTTTAATTGAAATGTCATAACTTGATCTTCTGGTGAAATACAGCATTCTCTCTGCTGATGTATGCCAGCATTTTACAATCATTTAGTCGGCTTAAACCCAGACGCTTTCTTAATTTCGACTGTCTCCTTCCAATCAACAATCAGTGGATTGGTAAATCATGCAAAGAAGTCAAATTCTATTTCTTGTTGACTTTAGAGGAAAACAACATTAACAGCAATGTATTTACAGCAATGTTTCTTCCTTTTTGTGGTGTGCAGACTTGTCTCATTGCCAGGGGGAAATTGCAGCAATGTCACCTCTGCTTTGGGTAAAGTCTGATTCAGCAATAGAATTAAGGCACTGGAGAATACTGTGCTGTAGCGTAGCACTCCTCCTCCTCTGCGCATACACAAGCACACACACGTATAACATCTCACATCTAGTTCCTCTTCTCTGCTTGTGCAGCGTGAGTGAGGGAAGCCACAGTGTTTATTACTGTCAGAGACCTGAGACAATCAGAGAGAACGAGAGCAAGAGAGAGAGGGTGGGGCGGGGA